AGGGAAACTTCTGAAAGGAATAAGAAGAAGCCAAGGAAGTAGGGTTTGAGCATGAGTGCTGCTAATAAGAGATGACAACGGAGAGGAAAGTAACAGGAAATTATTTAAAATTGGCCCTTGAAGTTAAAGGAGGAGGGGACCCTTCCTTCCTTCAAAGTGCAAAGTGCAAGGTGGCTTAGCTTTAGCTAGCTCCACTCCAAGGCAAACTTACTTGATCAGCAGTTGCGAGTCTTGGAGGGCTCTGCGTCACCGAGTCACTGCCTGCTTCATTATCAGCCGACCAACAGAATCCTCGGCCCAACTCCAAATGTCCATGTCTATCCTCTCTCTCTCTCTCTCTCTTCTCTGTATATATATATATGTATATGATGCTGACAGCTAGACACCAATCAGTCTCTTGATTCTCTGTCTCTCTCTCTCTTGTGGTGTGAAAATACAGGATATATACATCTAAGCTACGGCTGCTGGTACACGTGTAAGGCATCTAAGGGTTTTGTCCTTATGTTTAGAGATGGGACAATCCCAGTCCACCAGTAACATCATGCATATGCGCTCCTCCTGCTCCTAGTGCACAAATATTGATTCTCATCCCTTCTGCTTGCTTGCTAGTCTGTCATCATCAGCCATGTATATACATGCAGTAAGTAACAAAACTCTGCAACATTACAGCCCCATCTATATGGCAATTGACAGTGAATTCTTACAAATTATGTAAGATTACATCGAGAATTTATACATACACTTATAATTAAACAAGCTCCCCTGAGACTTGAGACCAGAGGCAGGGGAGGAGAGCCTCCCCTTTATTTACGTTGTAACATATTACATTACATATATGCATATGCTTCTTCCGAACCCAAAAAAAAAAGAAAACGAAACCGTATGCATTAGATATATATATATATATATATATGTATTCTGAGTAACGTGATGCAATGATGAATTTACATATACGAAGGATCAACCATATCTTTTTGCTTTCAGCTTTCAACAATCAATAAGTTTCTTCAAAGAAGGTGCGAAAAAGCTGCAGGGGGTTGCTCGCTCTGCTGGTATATTTCTACATCTTATATATACATAATTATATATACAGAGCTTTTAATTGGTGTCGGTATTTGACGGTGCACTTGCACGTGCAGATGAAATCCATGTTTGATCTGCTTGTTTAGTTTAAGTATCAAAGGATGAACATGATCTGTTCTGAAACCTTAAAGTAAAATAATGTGTCATCTCTCTCTCTCTCTCTCTCTCTCTCTCTCTCACATTCTTATCTTCTATATATGTAGCAGGTACAACTGTCTTTTACTTTTACTTTGCATCCGGGACAATTAAGCAATATACCTAGTTTTGATGCATGCTTATCTATTCACCCCTTTCCAGAACTATAAATATATATGTATTTATGCAAAGTATATTTCTCATAATGTGTTAGCTAGTAGCAGAGAGAGAGAGAGAGAGAGAGAGAGAGAGAATGCCTTAAATTAAAGATGCCCTGCCTGTACACAAAACATCTGATGCGGGGAGAGAGAGAGAGAGAGATAGAGAGAGAGAGAGAGAGAGAGAGAGTAGCTAGCTGGAAAGGGAATTGCAAATACCAGCATTTCAGTAATGCTTGTGGAATCAGCATATCTACATAACCTTGTGCCATGTACCTGAATGTTGCTTAACCAAACTTAATTAGCTTAATTACCTGTTTTCGACTTAAAAAAATACATGTTTAACTCATAACTAAGAGGAAATAATAATAAAATTATAAACAGATAGAACAAAGAAGAAAACAAGTAGTCAGATATAATAGATTTTATATATCAATTTAAAATATTTTTATCATATATACCAAAATTCTGCGAAACATATAAATGAAATGAAAGATCCATGTTATAATATTGGTCGGGTATATTGTCAGCTTGGTCAGCAGCAGAGGAGGGAGCTTAAAATACAAACAAATACAAAAGGGACAAGGGCATCGGGAAACAGTGTGATAGGGGACCCCATTGCCTCTGCCCACCCATCATGAAATTATTAGACGACAGAGATACCATTATTCACTCAAACATTCATTCATTCATACCCACACCACCACATCCGTATATATTTCTGATGATGATCTGATCTATCTTACATTTGATTTGAATTATACATACAATAGTCATATATATAGACGACTCATAATGATGCACCGTGACCAAGAATGGCTAAAGTTTTAGTCTAGAACATATAATTTTGGAATTCATCAAGAAAATATGAGGAAACCTCAAGATTTATTGATAAATCGAAATAGCAAAATATAAGCCTAGTCACGGATAAATTTGTTTAAATACTAATAGAAACCCTATGAGTAAACAGGAATTAAAATAGAAAAAATTACAAAGTTTCCCAAAAATGTAAAAACATAAAAACTAGACTTTGGGCTGCTAAATGATCTCAGAGGCCTGAAAAAGTCCATATATCATGGCAAAGCGGTGAGTTTTACTCGTGACGTCGTTCTCTTCGAATTAACGGGTCTTGGCTCAATTCTAAGCTTTGAGCCCAAATATGCATGCAGTTTGCCCAGTTTATATCCTTGCGCACGCGTCTTTTCAACTCCTCTTCAATTGCTTCCACCATATGTTCTTCATCACATAAGTATTTAAATCCTCAAACTTTGCCCCATTTTAAACATGCATGCATGCCCATATGTTAACTTAAGGTTGCCTAAGCCTTCATTAAACATTTTTAATTAAGTGGTCTTCGACCCAAATCAATCCCTAGCTTTTCATAAGTGACCAACCTATTGCATATACGAATGTGTTGGTTTTTCCAGTCCTATAAAAAAAAGAAAGAGAAAATTATAAATCCATCACTGCATATAAGTTTAATACAAAGTATTCATGCATGGTTTATTACTTTATTTGATAGAGGGTTTATTTGTTTTCATGTTTCATTTCTTTTTTGTCTTATATAATTGTATAAATTAATTACTGGTAGGCTTGTGAAGCATTTTTTTCATGGAACTGGGCCAACCTGAAAGAATATGAGTCTGCAGCAACTTGGTTTCGACCCCACCTCAATTCATCCCTTAGAGAGAGAGAGAGAGAGAGAGTGATAATAATGAACAAGAAAAACAAAGCTGCTCCTGTCCTATATATACATATATATATATATAAAATGGAAAATTAACTTTGTTAATTGTTTATAGTGTAGAAGGAATGGGGGGATGATGGGATTTAGATTCTTAACACATGCAGCCACACAAGAGAATGTCCTTGGCAATCATCTTGCCCATTGTGTTCTCGATCCCGAATCTAATCATACTTTCCTTATGCATTAAATTATTCGTTACTGTATATACTAATCAAACTATATAATTATTGTATTAAGCCTATCAAACAAGACTCGTCTCTCTCTCTCTCTCTCTCTCTCTCTCTCTCTCTCTCTCTCGTCTTTTCCACTTTATCGGACACACACACACATACATATATATATATAATCTATAAACATGGTCATGTGTCTGGTTATTTTCTACTTTTCTATAATTAGGACTTGTTAGCTTCCGATATAATTAATCCCTAAATAGAAGATGAGGGAGGTGAGGTTGATCAGGAGTTGAGGTGATGAATATTATGGTTGAGTTGAGTATTGAGATGGGTCCCAATTTTTTTTTTTGGGCCCGGCAGGCAACCACCAAACAGGAGAGCCATATTTCTGCTGTCTAAGTTTCACTTTCTTAATTAGATCTTTTCTCAATAAATTAAGAGAGAGATATATATATATAATCACCTCCTCCCCCGCCTCCTCTTTCTAGCCGTACAAATTTATTGATTAATATTCCTTAATCCATGTTTTTTTTTTTGTATCTAACGTCCATAATGATGTTCATGCATCTTTCCAATTACAACACGAACAAGGTTTCTCATAGTATAATATAATATTGCATAAGTACATACGTACAGTGGTTTCAATACGCCATATATCCGTATAATATTACATAATTAATTTGGGTCGCATTTATAAACCTAAGATATGATGAGGAACAAGCTCGCTTTCATTTGGGATTTATTCTTAAAATTAATTATAAAAATTAATTGATTGTATTAAAGGACAAACAAAAAAAAAATGTATTAAAGGACAAGTTGCAATCTTTCAAGCCATTGAGGGCAATAGATCATTGTGTGTCTTTACATCAACACTGTCCATAAATCAATCGTTTTCATAATTAATTGTGTGAACATCATCTGAAAATGAAAATACTTTTAACTATAATTACCGCTTTTGGGAATCATATGATCAAAACCAGTCAAATCTAAATCATTACTGTTTTTATCAGTTATGATCTATTTTTCAAACTCTTTAACCTGCCACTCATCAACCGTAGATATAATTCGGTGATTGTTTTTATCAGTTAGTATATACTTGTAGCTTGTTTCTCGGTGAAAAAAAAAACCCAGATTGATCCAGAAAAGAAAAGCCAATGCTGCCAATTTGAACTCACTATTTTGGTGATGCACTCAGTTTACCAAAAAGTAATAGCATCTTGCACAGAGAATTATGATTTCATTGACTAGTATGCCCTTGAGCGTGACATCACATCCTGAGCAGCACCTTTATAAAAGCTGCTTCCAAAATTAATAAATCAGACTATCTGCACATTTCTGCACATTGAGGAGAAAGGGGTACTCTGGTCAATAAATCAGAGTATGTGTATGTATTTATAATATATATATATATATATGGATGGAGATAGAAAAATGGAGTGGCGGAGAGGAGAGGCAAGGCTTACGTGTATATTTGGAGCTTGGTCTGTATAAATGCATGCAAATAGCAAATGAAATTTTTACTGTGAATGAATTATGAGTGTGTTTTGTTTCTTTGTGGGGATGTTTTTCCTTATGGAGCCCATTGCTGCTTGTGGGATCGACTTTCGAGCTTTGTGATTGGATCTCTAATTTCTTCCTCTCTCTCTCTCTCTCTCTCTCTCTCTCTCTCTCTCTCTGTCTCTCTTTTTCTCTCTCCTTCCTTTAGAAGGTGTTTATTAAGGACAGACGCTACACAAGAATAGCTGATGAAGATGAGCGTTGGAAGAAAGAAAGAAAGAAAGAGAAGAAGAGAAAGCTGGTTGTTTCCAAAAGCTGAGAGAGTTGAAAAGATAAATAAAAGAAAGCTGATAGATAGCATGAGGTAACCGAAAGAAAGAAAGATTAGCTTTTTTTTTTTCCTCCTCTCCCTCCCCATGTCCCTTGTAGCCTTTGTAGCTCCATCTTCTCTCTCCCCCACCTCTTCCCCAATATCACCTTATTACTTTCAATTATATTAAACTTCAATTAGAGAGAGAGAGAGAGATCGCTTTGCATCTTATATTATAGAGAAGCGAGTGATTTACTACAGAGGAGATCAGAGTTGATAATTCACCAAGCTCTATGTTACCCAATAACTCTTCTTCCTCAGTTCCTTCTTCTGAGCCCTTTTCTTGCTTAGAAAATGGCAATACCAATAAAAGGAAAAGAAGACCTGCAGGAACTCCAGGTACTTATATATTCATGTTTCAGTTCTTTTGTTCTCGGTGTAATTTTATGCTTAATTTGGCTGTGTGATATATAACTGTATTAATATATTATATAATCAAAATAGATCCAGATGCGGAGGTGGTGTCTCTTTCACCGAAAACCTTACTGGAATCGGATCGTTACGTTTGTGAGATCTGCAACCAAGGATTTCAGAGAGACCAGAACCTGCAGATGCACCGGAGACGGCACAAGGTGCCTTGGAAGCTGTTGAAGCGAGAGACTCCGGTCGTAAAGAAGAGGGTGTTCGTGTGCCCAGAACCAAGCTGCCTGCACCATGACCCCTGCCACGCCCTCGGTGATCTTGTTGGCATCAAGAAGCACTTCAGAAGAAAGCACAGCAATCACAAGCAATGGGTTTGCGACAAGTGCTCCAAAGGTTACGCAGTTCAATCCGATTACAAAGCCCATCTCAAAACTTGCGGCACCAGGGGCCATTCTTGCGACTGCGGCCGTGTTTTCTCAAGGTTTTTATTCATTTCTTCGATCGTCTTCCTATTAATATATAATTATACACATATCAAGGTTTTATTTATTTATTTATACATATATATGAGATGAGATATATCATGATTAATTTCATATGGCAAATTCAAAGACGCATCATCATATCTATTGAAATTGAATTGATCACCTTGCCTTCCAAAGCTCTTTTTGTTAATTGGGTTTGACTTTGAAAAAGTAAAGAAACACAAAAAAGGTGTTTGGTCCTCTTTGACTGACGGAACTTGACGGAACCTTGATCAAGTTGTTAACTACTTACTTTCGTTTCAACACATTTCCCGAAGATGAACATCATCTATTCTATGCTGTGTGGAGAGATGTTTTGCTTCGTTTTTTTTGTTTTTTCTTGTTTTTTTGGCATCCCAAGACGTAAAACCGCTACTGCTGACCCCAAGTATTATTATATGTAAATGCCATTGTCAAATATTTCCGTGGGTGCATGATATATATATATATATGGAATATCGAGTAGCTTTTAATGTGTGATTAATTAACATGTTTTTATTCTTAAAATTTAATTAACATATAAATATCCTCATATCTCTTCCTTAGCTCTCTATCATTCCCATATAACTGTATGTATAAGTTAAAAGCTGCTAATTAAATATTAACTATAATATCTTTATTAGAATTACAAATTTAGTTTAATTTTTTTTTTTTTTTCTTAGGGTTGAGAGTTTCATAGAACACCAAGATGCCTGCAATATGGATCGTGTGCGGTCAGAATCACAAGCACTGCAGCCTGCCGCATGCTTGTCAAGAACAGCTTCAAGTCCCAGCCCATCCTGCAGTGACAACAATTTCAGCAGGGCTCCTCCCAATTGGCCTCCTCCATCTAATTTGGTGCTACCGCATCCGAATCCAACCGAGTACACCAAATTAATCTTAACTAGTACTAGTCCTCCTGCTCATCCTGATCATCTTCAACCTTCATTAGTATCCAAAAAGGCACTCTACAATTTGGATCTTCAGCTCGCAACAACATCCAATAATATTCCCATCAACGAAGTCTCATCGGTTTCCTCTAAGAGAGAAGAAAACCATTCCACCCAGCTGCAGCTCTCAATTGGGTCATGTGATTTTGGTGGCGGTGAACTTCATCAGAATAAAATCGTTGAACACTCGAACTTTATGATCACAAATAGAAATTACTCTCCGAGGGACAAGGAGATGAGGGAAAGGGAAAGCAGCAGCACCACTACCAATAATCATGAGCATGATGACGATCAGAAACCAAAACCTTCAGCTGGGATATCGATATCGGCAGCATCGTCAAGGCTGAAAGAAGAAGCACGAGAGCAGTTAAGGCTTGCCATGGCAGAAAAGGCTTATGCTGAAGAGGCCAGGCGGCAAGCGGAGCATCAGATTGAACTGGCCGAGAAGGAGTTTGCAAATGCCAAGAGAATAAGGCAACAAGCACAAGCTGAGTTAGACAAAGCTCAGGCTTTGAAGGAGCAAGCCATCAAGAAAGTGAACTCCACCATTCTCCAAATCACTTGCCATGCTTGCAAGCAACAATTCATTCAAGCTGATCATCCAACAACAAGATCAAGGGCAACCCCAACCCCTACTCACGAGGCAATCAATCATTCTCTGGTACTCAGTTACATGTCATCGGCTATAACATCAGAAGGTGATCCATTAGACAATAATAATATTCGACCTAATCATGCAAAACCTGCTAATTAACCCCTAGTAGGTTTCCTGCCAGTGCTAGCTATTTCCCATCCTCAGATCTTTATGTAAACCTTTTTCTTCTTTTCTTTTGATCGATCATATTATCTGTCATATAACAAGCTGGTTATTGGGATAATAGAATCAGGCCCATCATGAGTAGACGAGTGTTGTATGGATCGTGCAATTCGTGTGATGTTATTTGTTCATTTATTAATTTGGTAAATGAAGATCACTATCGATCATATATATATTTATATAATGCATTGTTTTGTTACTGAATACTGATCATTCATTTACCTTGATTAGGTTAATAAGTGTTAATGGATCAGGTTAACTTTCTCAACAATATCATCACTCCATGGTTTGTAACTATATATATGTACATATATTGATCATTAATTGAAAGAGATGGTGGCCTGTGGTTTTGTCTTGGATCCCTGAGTAACTTTCGAAGTAGCCTTAGCGTTTTCTGTTTGGACTATTTGAAGAAGATCATAATGGAGGTGACTCTCCAGTTGTTGCCGGGGCCAGCATTAAAGAATATATAATACGTACTGACCCAAATTTAAAACCTAAAATCTTTTCTTTATATATATATATATATGCAAAGTAAAGAGAGAGAGAGAGAGAGAGAGAGAGAGATAGATGAGTTCAGATCAGATAGTCCTTAAATTTGTTTGTGATGACTGGTATTCTGGAGTATGGTGAGATATAAATGCGAATGAAAAAGGGAGCACCATGGTTTTCAGTTCCAACTGTTGTAAGGCCGGGGGGTTAATGACAGATTCAGAAGTCGCTCTCAACGTCTCCAAACACACAGACACAAACAAACTCCATTCATAATTATAAACACTGCCACGCTCGCACCCTTCATCGATCAGTACTATTCTCTCTCTTTCTCTCTCTCTCTCTCTCTGGCTCGCATCGCATGCATAAGAATCAGAGCCATTTAATAGCAGTGCGTGCAGAGGAAGCTCTCAGCATCTTTCCAAATATGCAGAGACCATTCAAACCTTTTAGAGTTGAAATAAACCTTACTTTGGCTAGGAAAATAAACAAACTGCAGCTTCTGCATTCCTTTGCCTTGTGTGTTGTGATCTGTTTTATTATGGGGGGTATATGGCCGAAACCGAAACACAAAGGGCAACCTGACCATATATCATATGCACTGCAAAGCCCAAACTCATCATCACTCATTCTCAAACCAAAACTTTACTAAAACTAAAGGGTTTTTAGGTCTAATGGTCCATGAATTTTGACTTGATTCGCATTTTGTTCCCTCAATTTTCAAAATCGTTCATGTGGTCCTTCAACTTTAATTTTGTTAGGACAAATTATCATGCCGTAAGTTTTGTTAACTTTTTCTGTTAAATTTGAGCATGTGCATGTGCATGGTGCATGGTGTACTATTGAGAATCAAAATTGGAAATTACTTCTCTCCTGGGAAAAAACTTCCCTCCATTATCACCCACACACCCCATAATCCTCTTTTCCTCTTCAATCACTCATCATCACCCACACACTATCTCTACGCTTTTGGAAATGGTGGAGTTTGAGAAATATTTGGGCTGGCTTGGGTTTTATGGAGGAACAATGTACAGTTTGGGGGAGAAACTTTCTCCGGCGTCACTCTCTCTCATCTAGATATGAGGAATATGTTTTTTTTTTTCTACAAATTTTATTATGTATTGGGGAATTTTCGAAAATTTAGAAATAGTGTGTTTGAGAGAGATTGTGTTGGGTTCGGGTTCTGTCTAGGAGTGCGGTTTGGGGGAGAAAACTTTCCGGCGTCACTCTCTCTCCATATTGAGCCATTCCATTATCACTTTTTCATCTTTAATTTAAATATATTAGGGAAAAAAGGGGGAGAAATCAATAGGTGATGAAGGAGTGACTGAAGAGAGAGTAATGGAGTTGCATAATTTTTACGAATTGAGAAACATGAATGGAGGAGAGGGATGGATGCAGAGAGAGAAGAGGAAGAAAATGGGTGTATAAATTAAAAATAATACAAAAAATATCATTTTATCCTTGCATTTAATAGAAAAGATATTAAAAAAATTGAAGTCATGATCATTTATCCTAACAAAAGTGAAGTTAAAGGACCACAAGAACGATTTTAAAAATTAAAGGACCAAAATGTGAATCGGGTCAAAATTCAAGGACCATGAGACCTAAAAACCCAAAACTAAAAGGTGCATTGCTCTTTGCTCCCATTTTGTGCTGCTCACCCAGTGCCATTATTCCCACTATTTTTTGTTTTCTTTTCTGATTCACATCATTCATTAATGTTGAAGGATTATCACTTATTTTTCTTCTTAAAATATTAAAAATCCTTTTCTTAATACCCCGGTTGTTATTTGGATAGTAGCAAGCAAGCAACAGTTGTAATTTGTTTGGGGCTTCTTTTCTTTACTAAAAAGCCCCTAAGTAGTTGATGATTTATGAAAGCCCAATTTCAAAATAAGCCGGGAATAGCTACAATAGTGCCCACTGCACTGCCTTATGTGGAAATGAAGCCCATCGCTGAACCTCAAGCAAGCATCCAGTATCCAAGTTGAAAAGTTCTAATGTCCCAAGTTCAAGGGGTAATTAAGGGGTAATTAAGGGGTAATTAATGGTCAATGTAACTCGTATCCGTGATTCTTGCTCAAGTTATCTGTATCTACTCTCCATATCGTGCATGTATGCCTCGCTTGCATCATAATTAATTAAGCAGGATATTAGCTAGGAATGGGTGATGGCCAACATGATGATAAAACCAGTTTAATCTTTGTCCATAGATTCATTTACATGCATATCTCATATATAGATCAAGTGCAACGTAACATTCACCAATTTCAGATTATTCTTTTTAATTATTATTATTACAATTTACAAGCTCTGCTGCTGCATGCGTAAGTTTGTTGCTTTAAGTAATACTTCAACGTCACGTCATGCCTAGAAAAGAAGAAGAAAGAGATGTAGGTAGCATTTAAAAATAATGTCTCACCAAACCAAAACACAGTTTAGATATATTAATCTAGTTAAAATGTCTAAAGCACATGTTTAAATACCTTAGATCTCCTGATCAATGATTGTTAATTTTTAATCAGGTCAATTAATTAAAAGTTTGTGGGGTTCATGAACTTGTAACATTTTATTATTACCACATTATGTGCGAGCGAGCTCGGGACATGAAAGCCAGAAATGTTCTTATATAAATGCATTTTCTTGCCCAATTTCTTTCTGATTCTGATGGCAGTCATTCTCATTTAGTCGGTTATAATAAATACTATAGTATGTATATATATAGGTTTTTAAGGTAAATATGGAGTCAAACGATGGCCATTAAGCACCCATATGATAAATATATATATATATATATATATCTATATATATGCATCATGCATGGCAGGAATTGCAGCCTTAAGCTAGCCCCAGGCAGTGGTGTAGCCATATATATGCCAGCTTGTACAGTGCTGCAACAGTGACTTCACACTGAGTGAGTGGTGTGGATAAAAGGAAACAAGGCAGTGCTACCAGCAAAAGCCAAAAAGGCCAAAAGCCAAAAGCCAAAAGCCAAAAGCCATAAGCGAAAGCTGCTCACAGCCCGAGCCTCGTCCTCAGTCACACCATTATAATATATATATATATATATATATATATATATATATATATATATATATATATATATATATATATATATATATATATATATATATATATATATATATATATATATATATATATATATATATATATATATATATATATATATATATATATATATATATATATATATATATATATATATATATATATATATATATATATATATATATATATATATATATATATATATATATATATATATATATATATATATATATATATATATATATATATATATATATATATATATATATATATATATATATATATATATATATATATATATATATATATATATATATATATATATATATATATATATATATATATATATATATATATATATATATATATATATATATATCTTACCCGTCAAAGTCAATGCTCTGTATGATCACAAGGGTCATTAAATCCCCTACCATATCATAAAGTATGGGCTGAAGAATTTAAAAGATTTTGCGCATCTCTATTTATTGTCTATTAGTTTTGAATTGGATGCTTAAATTCCAACGCGTGTATAGCTAATTATTAGCATAGCACATATATTATGTACTAGTGCGTGACAGATTATTCCTTGTGTGACAGCAAGAATTGATGGGTTTAGACATGGTTTGCTTGGCTGCATATGGACTGGAGAATTAACAGAGACGGGCATGGCGATCATTTGCTTGTGGGTGTACCAATACTGTTGGAGGACAGGATGCCCTGCTGTGACTGAATAGAATATTTATTTATGCATGTAATTTTGATGTTGTTAATAGAACATAATAATTAGATAGAAGAAGAAAACAAAAGTATATGGCTACTGATTGCAATGTTGTCGTACATGGGAAGTGACATAGATTTCCTTTACCAATTAATGCTAAACTACAAAATACTAGTCTTTTGTTATAACCCTACTTTACTTTCCCAACGTGAATTATTGGATTAAACCCATTACCACTTCTGCTTCACCACAGGGCCCGCTACGGCCTCAACCCTCCTCCCTCCTCTCTCCTCTCTCCTCTCTCCTCTCTCCTCTGAAACTGAACCATTCACTCCTCCATCGCTGTTGTAATTATTTTGTAATATTGCTTGCTACTAGGACACTTTTGCCCATTCATCTTCCTCCAAACTACAAGATACAACCACGGGTGAATATCCATCCCTCCACCTCCCAACTCATGAGTTGTTGGACGACTTTGCAGAGAGACTCTCGTGCAACGGGAATAACACTTTCTGTTATTTCCAATCAATAACGTAATAACACATAAAATAACTTGTGTTATTGGCCGAAAATAGCAAAACTCTCGTTATAAGTTTTTTTGGACGACCTTGACTTAGCCTTTTATTTTATTAAGCTTCTTGCGTTCATGAACCCAATATCCTTTTTATCACCCTTGCTTTTCCTAGATTTACGAATATGCCATGGCATGTCTCATTTTCTCATCCTCAATACTGCTACTCTTTCAGTAATATATGTATATATATACACGTGGTTGAGTTGTGTCCAAATGCCACCGCAAAGTCCCCCATACAGATAGATCATGGGTCACCTCACCTGGTTCATTTTTTCATTTTTTTTCATTTAGATAGATATCCATATATAGAAAGGTACAAAAGTATAGTTGGTCACAATTACGGCTAGCTAACATGGGCACTAGTGTAAATAATCGAACCATACAGTACCAATTTGAAAACCTCTCTGCCCATTTTTATACACTGCAATTGTAATCTCAAAGACAGAGAGAGAAATTAGAGAGAGAAAAAGAGAGAAAAAAAGAAAAAAGGGAGATGGAAGGAGATCATCATGATCAGAACACAAATGAAGTATACAGAGAGTGCTTGAGGAACCATGCAGCGAGCCTTGGTAGCTACGCCACAGACGGCTGCGGAGAGTTCACACTCGACGACGCATCCCCAGGCGGCCTACAATGCGCCGCCTGCGGATGCCACCGCAACTTCCACCGCAGAGTCACCTATGCAGCCACGTCATCACAAGCTGCAGGAGGCAGCGGCAGATCATCAGGTCATCATCATCATCATAATCGTGTGATCATGAGCAGCAGCAGCCGAGGCCGAGATCCGGGCGACAACACTATAGCAACACAAGATCAACTCATGGATTACAATGCTGGCGGTGGTGGGTCCCCGGACAGTGGAGACAGGATGAGCGGGAAGAAGCGGTTCAGGACAAAGTTCACAGCGGAGCAGAAGGAGAAGATGCTGGCGTTTGCAGAGAAGCTGGGGTGGAAGCTGCAGAGGAAGGATCTAGAAGATGAGATTGAGAGGTTCTGCAGGAGTATAGGGGTAAGCAGACAGGTATTCAAAGTGTGGATGCATAATCACAAGAACCTTTCCTCTTCTTCTACATCTGCATCTACTGGCAATGCCTCTTCTCTCACTACCCAGTAGTACTACAAGCTGTCTCTCTCTCTCTCTCTCTCTCTCTCTCTCTCTCTCTCTCTCTCTTGGCTATGCCTAGGCCTTTTCTATGGGTCTACTACTACTCATTATATCAGATAGACTAATTAATTAACTGTTTTCTATGGTCTTCATTTTTCGCTTAAGCTATATATAATTAATCATTGCCTTCCTTTTTTTCTTTGTAGTTCTGTATATATGCTGCATGTTAATTGGTTCTTCTATATCAAGTTGAAATTAATCATCTCACAGATCTATATATATATATATATATAGTAATTACTGATGAGATAGTTTCCATTTGGTTAATCATTTCCAAATTATCCAGTGGAAATACTGATGATGAGTTAATTTTAATGAAAACTTAAAAGACCTCCTTCCTTAGATATATATATATATATATTCTGCGTGGCGTGGCCCGCCCTCTCCCCCTTTTAGCTAGCTTCAAGGCTTTAGAAAAAGTTACATGAATATCTTGTCCTATCAAATTAAACATCTCTTCAACTTGTTCATGATTCATACCCCTTTTCAAAAATCAGTTATCAGAATCACAAATAAAATACAAATAAAAGAACCACGCGACATCTCAAATCAGAATATCGGTTCAATTTTTTTTGTTAATTAAATTTGATGCATGACATGAGAGAGAATCCATTTTATTGTAATAGTTAGTTGGCACCGGCAGCATAATCATTTCCAATTTTTTGTTTTGTATGTACGCGGAACAAGAAAAAGTTTTGCCGACAAACATACCTTACCTCTCTCACCTCTCCCTTGCTATAGTTGTTACCAATCGTGAAGACATGCATTATCCAACCTCATGTCTAGTCCAAATCAAATTCATCTTTGCTGGCATGGCTTGTCTGTCCACCCTTGCAATATTCTGTCCTCTAGTGACGAATTGCATTCTTCATAGTCCTTCAAAAAGAGTGATTATGCTTAATTAATTCCTTCAATCTATTGCTATAGTGCTATTGCTTGAGGAGAAGCATTGGATCATACGCAATTTTCTATGATTTAATTTCTTCATCTACCTATATCCTTCTATCCATATAGTCACAAAAGAGAGAGAGAGAGAGAGAGAGAAAAAGCAGCTCTGAGATGATCTCAATACATCAATTTTCCATTGCTTTTGTAAATGTTCTTCGCCATCCCATAAAACCTTATATCGCAATAGCTAACAATAGACAATTGAGTGGGCTCACAACTAGCGCATAATTAACTTGTTTGTCACCAATACCCTCGGCAGGAGCAGGATCCGTTCTTGAAATGATGAAAGCGACTTGACTTTCTCAATTTGATTTCGTGCTCAACAACCTTGGATATGTAGGTAATCGCACTGCGGCAATCTCCACAGACACGGATGGTTCGCCGTCGATGACATCTCTTTCTCCCTCGGTTCAGTTGTTGAATGGGCCTCTGGCTCAGGAGACAAGTTTTGGATCGTTATCCTCAAAAGAAAGAAAATACAAAAAGTAAAATATGAGGTTGTGTTGTGTTTGCTGCGCCCAGCTTACATATTATTTCTAGGCCTATACTAAAAAGTCGGCCCAAACTGAAAATTCCCGTTTGATAATCATTTCAATTTTTTAGTTTTCATTTTTTGTGCTAAAGTATAGAGAAAAATGAGACTGAAAATGGAAGTAAATATAAGATTGAGAGAAGATGAGACGGTATGATGGAATGGAAGCAAAGAGTAATAAAAGTGAAAACAATTTCAAATAGATTTCAGGTTTTAGCTTTTGTTTTCACTTTTATTCCTCCTTCATCGCATCCTCCCCTCTCATCTTCCCTCTCAATCCCATCTTCACTCTCATTCTCACTTCCATTTTCCCTCTACGCTCTAGCACAAAAAGTGAAAATTAAAAACTAAAATTGAAATGGTTATCAAACGGCCCGTAAATATTGACAGCCTTAGCCTTATGTTTTCTTCTGCATGGCTTTGTACAGGCCATTTGTCTGAAGCCTTGCAGATTTGGGCCGAGTAACCCTTTCTGACTGGGCCCTTCTGTTGGGCCTTCTTTGCTCTGTTTTACCATTGGGCATTTATTGGCTTATTATACAAACAATTCAGAGAGGGAATAAGAAAGAAATATTAAGAAATTCCCCAAAGAAAAGAGAAATCCACATAAATAAGCATAACATTTTAAAACTCAGGAGCAGCAAAGCTAAATTCTACCCAACATCATAAAAGAGAATTCCACCTTGTTAACACAGGTCCAAATTACTAATTCTATAATAATCCGCGCATGTTTAATTAATACCCCACCCCTACCCTGTTTAAAATCCAAAAACTACATTCACTTGTTAAGCATCATTCTCACAAACTCCTCATAGTTCACCTGCCCATCGCCATCTTCATCTGCTTCACGAATCATTTCATCCACTTCTTCATCTGTCAGTTTCTCCCCAAGATTTGCCATTACATGTCGAAGCTGCATGGTTTCAAATATGCAAAAAGGTCGGTTTGCAGTATAAGTTTCCACTACACCCAATCTTAATTACATCATCCAAAAAATAGCTAATTACGATCTTTACCTCAGCAGCAGAAATAAAGCCATTCTGGTCCTTATCAAAGACCTTGAAAGCTTCTTTGAGTTCCTCCTCAGAATCAGTATCCTGTGGAAGTTTTAGTTCAACAAACTTCGCGAGTAAATACATCTAAACTATTCCAATCACATATCCAGACCACGGGCAGAACAGTAAAACAAAATTTGCAGAGGCCCCAATAAACAAAGGAAGGAAAGGTTCAACGGAAACATATCGATACTGTGTCTTCAATTCTATAATTATCAATAGGTCCTATTATTACAAACTGCACAGTCAAGACTCGAGAGATATTACCCCGATGATTGCCCAAAGATTTAAAAAACCTAGTGTTGCTACCATGGCAATGCATTAGTTATAATTATAAGTGACACTAGCAAACATTGTAATTAGCTTTCCGTAAAGATCAAACTAAAACAGAGCAATTACATTTAAATGAAAGATTTATCAGAGTCCACAAGAACCCCATTTTCATGTGATTCACCAAAGTTGAGTTGAACCAAGCATGAAGCACGCTAGATTACCAGCCTGAGAATTATAGGGGGGAAAGCAAGATGACACTATGATGGATACATAATGTAGATACCTTCATCTTCCTTGCCATCAAATTCAGAAACTCGGAGAAATCAATTGTGCCATTCTGGTCAGCATCAACTTCGTTGATCATGTCCTGCAATTCAGCCTCAGTGGGATTTTGTCCCAGAGATCTCATCACAGTCCCCAACTCTTTGGTAGTGATGCAACCTATGTGCAAACAAACATGAATTATAAGTAAGTCTCTTTGTGCAAAACTTATGTGGTCTTCTGCCTGACAAATCAGAAGTAGCAGCAGAGTGAACAAGACAGAACCCATAATATGTTAATCACACAGAGACATCAACATTTCCAGAACTCATCTCAAGCACATGTGGCCCAATGGATGAAAAGGATATGTTGTACGCTGACAACTTAAACCTATGCATTACCAACCCCAGTTTTATGCTATGAATGTAGAACTGATAGCCTAGTAGCAGAAGAGGTTAGAAATAAATCGTGGGTTTTACAAGACAAGAGGGCCAAGTCCATAAAGAATATTCTACAATGTAAAACAGAAAACCACAAAAGAATTTTAGGTCCAGAGATTGGGGTAATTCAAAAACTTGATTCATGAACTTCTCTTCTAACTACTTTTTTTCTTCTTTTTTTTCGTATCCCTTGGAATTTAGTTGTATAGAGCATTTCTTATCGCATATGCAATGAAATCCAATACCAAGTCAAGTGGATATTGATTTAAAATTTTCTCTCCTATTCTCCCGATAAAATAAAAATATATCCTATTCTTCAGTTCAGTAAATATTCTTCAAATGTTTTAGGGACCTAATGAACCTAAAAAATCAACGTTAAAGGAAACAAAGAAGCAAGAAGAACTAAATAATGGTCACGAAGAGCAATCCTTTACTTGATTTTGCTAGAGGAAGAAGACAGTATCAAATTCATAATTCATAACCAACAAAAGTAAATAAACCCAAGAAATCAAGACATGAAATATAATAATGGGTAGAAATACCATCGCCATCTTTGTCAAAGAGGCAAAAAGCTTCCTTGAACTCGGCGATCTGCTCCTCGGTTAGCTGCTCAGCCATTTGGTCTCTGTTCTGATTTTGGCGAAATGTGGAGTTTGGATTTAGTTGACCGATGAAAACTTATGGCCCTTTGCCTATACTAATAAGGACAAACACTGAGATTCAAGTCTCTTTAGAATAAATCAATTTAAACTGGATCCTTGTTACTGCTAGTTTTTTTTAAAAAGTTTTTTTGGTGTCAATACTAGTTGTTGTTAGAATCTAATCTAACGGTTGAGATTCAACCATTGTGTTCTCTGCTATTTTCGTATAGCCAGGCAGCCTGCCATGTGAGGCGCTTCGCTTGTATTACGTACCTGCACGGATATCCAGGGGCCCACTAATTCCGTGTCCATGTCTGGCCTGCTTCTCCTTTTTTCTTACGGTGAAAGTTGACGAAGTGTAAGATACTTATCATAAGGTCATTTCTTTCTCCTGGGTACAAGCAAGCGACGCGTCTTTCGTTCTTTGACACGCTATCGATGCATTAATTAATTAAGGCCAAAAGTCACTTTTGGTCATTGTAGTTTGGCACTTTAATCATTTTTGATCATGTAGTTTTAATTCCGTCAATTTTGTCATTGTAGTTTCGTATTTATAGCAATTAGAGGACATGTTTGTATTCTTGTCAATTTTTTTAACGATGCAAGGGGTAATTTCGTCAACCCAAAACCTTTGAACGTAAAAACTTGTCTAAAATTCTCCCTATTTCATATTAGGACTCGAAATTCAATCACTAATCCCAATTTTTGAAGAACCCTAAACCCAAATGATCAATTTCAAGCCATAATATGAAATTAGGGAGTTTCAGATGAGCTTTTTTGCTCAAGAATTTTGGGTTGACGAAATTGCCCCTTGCACCGTCAAAGAAATTGACAGGAATTGTTACAAATACGAAACTATATGGTCAAAATTGACGGAATTGAAACTACAAAATAAAAAATGATTGAAAGACCAAACTACAAGGACCAAAAGTGACTTTTAGCCATTAATTTAAATTTAACTAACGCTAATTCCTTTGTTTTGTCATCCATTTTTCTCTTTTCTTTTCTTTTTACAAATGTTAATTAAATAAAATTGATACACGTGCCTTATTCTCTATCATTTATAAACGTTATATTTCCTGATTGATATTTGAGCCAGCTACATCAAGTCTGACCGAGTATAAGGGTTGAGATGAAAAATTAATGCAAAAGGAAAACATATAGTATGAGTGACAATAACAATTTTATTTGAAAATAAATAAAGCTTGATACAACTTCAAACCAAGCCAAAGGGCGGGTTGCTTTATAAATTTGCGTAAGCATGGTTCACGAGAAATCATTAAAAAATAAAAAACAAGTTGAGCGTTTGAAACAAATGGCTGCTTACAAATGAACGTACAACCACATGCGCGCTTAGATCGATATTGATGCACATTATTCGGATTCTGAATGCTATCAAATATCAATATTTGAAATTTACATATTTCTAAACAGATATCAAGGCAGACATGGTATCATTATCATATGGATGAAACTCGCTCTCTCAGCATTACGCACAAAATGCATAAGCGGAAAGCCCAAATTGTTAGTGGTGCAAAAATATGAACAAAAATTAGTTGGCTGTCTGTATGTATGCATGTATGTATCTGCAGTTAAAAATGGCAGAAATGCAACAACAGCTCTAACGCATTGCTCTATGAAGGTGTCTGGTATTTGTACTTGACAGCTAAGGCTGCTGCTCTGTACCACGATGCTGCCGCCATTGCACCTGGGTCTGGGACCGAGGCAAGTATCTCCCCAGATATATAACTTGATCGGCCAGCCTGCATAGAACACGATATCAGATTCCCATTTACAAGGAGGATGACTTCACTGGAGCAAACTGTAATTGGGATTCTAAAGGAAAATTTACAAAAAGAGAATCAGCTTATATGCCACCTGTGCCTGCATGTGCTTCGTTGACTCAGCTCCTTCCAGTGCTGCTTCAGATGAGAGAAGAAAAGCAGTCGCAGGATCATCACCAGCCTTTAACCTCTGTTTTTCAAAACAGATATAAGTACCAAATTATGAGGCCACGACAACAAAGAAGAAGAAGAAAATGATAATTATTGATGACCTCCTGAAGAACTGCTGATGCTGGAATAAGGGCATCTAACAATGTCCGGTAACCAGCACTAGCCCCACCATATTTACTGACAGCAGCAATGGAAGCTTCAAGCGCTTCAGCCCCTGAATCAAGAGAATGTTAAGTCAAGGTGAAAGAGTCTAAAAATTATCCCATTATGAGGAGAATTGTCTCACAATTTTTTGATGTGACAACTCCTTGGGTGCTTGCTTTCAACTGTGCATAGGCTGCCTTGCAAAATATGGTATATCTGTATCAAGAATATAGATGTAAAGATGCATGTCTGGGTAAATGCAGCTAAAAAACATTACTGAAAAAATTTCTGTCAAAATTTATTGAAACAGGGGAAGCTGAATACAGGATCCCGCTTGTGCCGCCCATAACTCTTCTGACAGATGATCCAATTTCATTCACTGTTTCGGTTGCATCATTCAGGGGATAACTGCAATACGGCAATACAGACACGACCATGAATAAAAGATTAGTTTGGAATGATAATCACTGGGTATGAACAATTAATTCTCTATATTGCTGATAAAACTGTTCAGAAACCTGACAGCAACAAAACAGCATTTGCAATACCATATTTTCATTATTTTCTTTTTTTGGCTAGGAAAATAAGGGAAATGACACAGGATTGAACCCAGGCATGCAACTTTCCACACTGCCCTATCATGTTTTCTCTAATAACAGGCACGCTACTCCAACAATGCATTATGAAGACAACATCAAAAGTCAGTCATGTGCATATTCTTCTTCTAGTAAAACATAACAAGATTTGTCCACCAATCCCCCCTGGAACCAAAAATAAAAAAATGAAAAAGAAAAGGAAACTGAAAATCAAACCTACTTTTGCATGTCTTCCAAAACTGCTGCCGCACCTCTATACATCTGCAACAGAAAGCATAATTATTTATTTTTTGTCAGAGAAAGCATAAGATTTAGCATGTGACAATTCTTTGATTTGGAAGACAAAAAAGATCAAGGACAGGCACAAGATTTAGCATGCAACATATTATGATTCAAGAAGTAAATGAAAGAAATGATCAAGGTGGGGACTTACGGTTGACCCACAGTCACCATCACCTACTTTGCTATCCCATTCATTCAAATTGTCCCTAAGTTTTTTCACAGCATGTGCAGCTGCTTCAATAGCCACCTCAAGAATCTGGCCTTGTGCATTCAGTTGTGCTGGCCGACCTAATGACTAATTGAAAGCAAAGAGTCAAACATTTTTAGTAGACGCAAAAAACACATCCAATGATTAACTATTGGCCATCCATGATTCTCCACAGAGTGCACTCCGGACAGTTTTGAAGCTCAACTCAAACTAGAAATAGTTTAGTGCAAAACACAAACAAGTGCACCCAATTATGCCATTTTTATGTTGTTGAAAAAGACACCCAATTATGCTATGAAACTACTATTCTACCATAACCTGTTCAACAATTTTGGACACCAACACTAATGTCAACGAACAATATATACTTGTAAAAACAGAAAACAAAGTTATTCACCCACCAGACAACTTACAGAAATGTCAAAGTGTAGACAGACGAAGACGTGTTCTAAGAACACGGTTGTACATACCTATTTGTTCAAACAAAGGTACAAACATACCTCATCACTCTTTGTTGAGCGAGATGGAGGCAACGGAACAGGAATCTTTGCAGGTGGGTGATTGCCTGCAAGCAAGGACAAACACTTAGTTCAACATACCCAATTTTGACTTATTTTTAATGTTTAATAAGTATATATGGTAATAATGAAGTGTAGTATGTATTTTTATACAATAGAAATATAACTTATTCATGACACCAATGCCACTAGACCTTCATGAAAGCAAATACTATTTACAAAGTAAAATAAACATGTAGATAAGAAACATTCAAACACCATAATCAGATACCATCAACACCAACAGGCCAATGTGGAGCCTTTGTTGCAGCATCCAGACGTTGCAAAATAGCTTGATCAGCCTTCATGATAGAAATCGAAAAACCTGAAGAAACAGTGTCAAGAATGTGTAAATTTTTAATACAACTAACACTCTCAGGATGTGCCAGAGAACAAACCTGCCATATCAAGAGAAGTCATAAATGACCCAGTATATACTCTATCAACAGCCAATCCATGTTCCAGCTGCAACTTAGGAACTGCTTTACCGGATGCAATCATCAGTTCCATTACAGGAGTTGCACCTAACCTGCCATAAAAGAAAAGAAAAACAAAAGTAACATAATAAGAGTTCTGCCTGGACTGACATTGGAATTTAATTGGAAAATAACAAACAGAGTAAGAAAATTGATAAGGAAGAAAGAAAGTTAAGAAACTTCAACATTTGCCTTTCCTCATAAATTTACAACGCTAGCTTTAAATGACGTTGTAAAAAAAAAAAAACAACTCTGAAGCAAATATATAGCATGAAAGACATTTTGTACACAACATTTTTCCTCTTTCAACTTTAGATATAAATATTAGTAAGGGATCATGTCACCGAATCTAGAGTTAAAAAGCCAAAACAGTCATCTTTACTGGTATCTATAAGGGATTAGTTTCCCATAAAACAAGAACAGTAACTCAGAGAGAGAGAGAGAGAGAGAGAGAGAGAGAGAGAGAGAGAGAGAGAGAGAGAGAGAGAGAGAGAGAGAGAGAGAGAGAGAGAGAGGAACATATTGATCTGAATTCGGGATAGTTCCTCTCGAGATGCCAAATTGTTTTTTTTTTCTTTCCATTTCCATTGACATGCAAACCTCTGGAAGGAGAAAATGGAAAGTTAAATCCACTCAACTGAGTATGCTTATTTTCTCTCAGATCATCAGATTCTTGTTCTATCAATTATGATGCACCTTGCATCAGTAATGTTTTAAGTCCCATATAATTAAATTCTCATATAATCCAAAAATTAAAACACCCAACGTACCCGTTGACCATAAGCACAACTCTACTACCTCGAGTAATTGGAACATAGTTAGTTTCCTGCAAAGAATATAAATTGGATCTTTTAGAAAGTTAGAACTTGATTCAGCGGGTTGTAGGAAAAATATATAGATACAAAATAGTTCATCCTATGCATTGTGAATGCGCTTTGTTCATAATAAGAAAACTGCACTCTAGAATTGGAATGAAGTGTTGAATCAATTCTATACATTCCCATTTTTCTTATGTATATCCTACTCAACTACCTAAGAATCTATTGACTATCTTCACAAGACAATATTCTTACCATACATTTAACTGGACTCTAACTTACTTGAGGTGTGAAATATATATTAAATGTCCATTCTTATTACGTAAAGAAAATATATTTGACATAAGCACTGATTAAAAAGTATGGGGGTATACTGGCGACAAAATCTGCTTAAGAACATGAGAAACTATCACATCCACGGGTTGAAGGTCAGCTACAGCAGCACCAGGTTCTCCATGCTGTAAAAGTAATCCAGTTTTAGTCAGCTTGACAAAGTATTTAAGAAGTAAATAGAAGTGCCAGTCCATATGAACAGTATGCTGGTAAATCATAGCCAGATACAAATCCCATAGGGTTAAAAACAATCAATTCAGGATATGGTTTGACAAATTTGAGCAAATATAATGAATTCCAACGTACGGTATGCAAACCAGAAACAGACTGATGTTTTAACATGATTAGAAAACAAGCACATAACTTTTGGATTTATGGACCAGGTTACTCGCCGAGAATAACTTACAATTCCAAGACCAAGTTCCATCTTTCCTGGACCCACACGGTCCGGTGTAACCCGACCAGGCAATGTGCAAACAGATAATGCAACACCCATTGTTCCAACCATTTCAGATGCACGCCTTGCTTCTGTGGCAACATCAGCAAGTGAAAGGCCAGCGGCAGCAGCAGCTCCAGAAATCTGCTCACAAAGGGGTCACAGATTTGAAGATTAACAATTGATACTACAAACCAGAGTTTTAATTAGGATGTGAAGACATGGGTGAAAAGGTTTCCAACCCTTCAGGAACATAACACCCTATTTCTAACATCCTTCACAATAAGCTTTCAAGCATACATGAAATGACAGATAACACAAAGAATGGTTGAATAAAATAGTTTAAATAAACCACATTACAAATGGAAACAGTTGAGAGAGAGAGAGAGAGAGAGAGAGAGAGCCTTATGAATAAGAATGGTCCCGGCCAAACCCCTTCGACCAGCTATGCCTCGAGGTGGGGGTAATGCACAATCATCTCCAACAATTACAGTCTGCAACATTAAAGGGCAGTCCCTTTGTTTATACCCTCTGGTGCTTGCTAAAGGAAAGAATTCACAAAATAAAGCATACCTCTACTTTATAACCTTCTGATTTTGCTTGCTCTGCAGCTAAACCAAAATTTAAACGGTCCCCAGTATAATTCTGTCAACAACCAAACAGCAACAACATACATCAAAAAAACCAAAAGCCGCATTTCCAAATTTGGCCCTGCTTGTCACCATAAATATTTATGAATCCGAGAAGAAATTCCAGAATTTTATACGGATGAAGATGCAATTTTCCACCAATTTCTATTAATATTTATTGTTTTAAATTTCTATCAATAATGGGTTTTCAGAATGCTCCAACCACATGCCATTGCTGTCATTTAACATCCCAACCGGACATAGAATACCCTCACAAAGCAAATTTTAACACAAAGTAAAAATTATACCTTGACAATCAGAAGGCAACCCATAGGACCAGTTACAGCTCGGATGCCCTAAAGTTCAATCATATTAGATCAGAGTCACCTAAGGTAACAATCATACATAGATCGATAAGGTGTAGTTTCCTTCCAATTAAAAGAAATAAATTGCAGGAGACCATACTGCTAGAACTGAATCAACCGGTGGTGAGGCAAAAACATCCCCACATATAGCTGCTGTCAGCATCCCTTCCCCCACAAATCCAGCATGTGCAGGCTCATGCCCACTTCCACCACCTGTATCATCAAATTATTAAGAAAATCCTCTCTGTCACACACATTTTAAAATTTCATTTTCATTCTTACATTGAAAAGATTTTAATTGCAGAGACTCAAACAAACCTGATATAACAGCAACTTTGTCATATGTACCACCGGAGACATCAGCACGCAACACAACCTTCACCTGTAATCCCCATTTAGGAAATGACACAATTATATTAGTTATTTGCATACCTAAGGCTATGGCATTGAGGGATAAACACAAGGCGGAGGTAAAATAAAGAAAGGAACAAAGCAACAGGATAAAAGACCTGAGGGAAACCATCTAAGTACTGCAGCCCAGGATATGTTTCAACAAGACCCTCGATGAACTCAGTCACCACATCTGCAACCATGGATACAAAAAATTCAGAAGTCTCTTAGTGAAAATTAAGCAAAAGTTAAGCTTCATTTCTCTTGTTACTACAACTGACCCCCACCTAAAGTGCACAGAAGTATCGTGACCCCTAAATTTCATTATCTTCACATTTCCTCTCATTTTACTCGGCAACATACTCGAAAAATCAAACACGAAGTTGAGGGATAATCACGAGGAAGGGCAAAAAAAAAATCGGAGTAGAAAATGCCAGAGTGAGGAAGGCGAATTGCGTACCATTGGGGTCGTTGATGAGCTTCTTGGCGTGAAAAGCCATGGCGATGATAGGCAATTAAACCCTAGCCAACAGTGGTTTGCATGAGCCAGAGAGAGAGAGAGAGAGAGAGTAGATGGTATTGGTGGAGTCGGGCTCTGTGTCTGTATATATATGTGTGTGAAAAGTCTCTCTCACCTGCGGTAGAGGGAGCTTTTGCTTGAGAAAAGAGTGGGTGTGCGAGTTGATGGTTGCTTGTCTGAGCAAGAAATTTCCTCGCTCCGTTTTTATCATTTTATCCTTCCTTTTTCTCGCAAATTCCCTTTCTACCACTCAAGCTTTTGTTTGTTTTGCCCTTTCCCTAATTATCTAATTAAGGACGGTAATTGGCAGATATGTTTGCAAAAAAAATAAAAACCTTAGTAGAAGGCTCTGCCTACATTTAAAAAAACAATTTATTTATTAATTAAATATAGCCTACATGTTTGCAAATTCACGCCATGGAGAGGGACCATATGAAGAAGCTCTGCAAAAAGAAGTGAACTTTTGAAGAAACATAAAAGCTTTTACATTATCATGGGCAGGGAACTGAAACATCCTTCTCCACGCATCCTATACAAATGAACTTTTCCTAGGGTTTCCATTCCCTTCCCAGCAGCAGCACATTTGGTTTGGAAAATGTCCCTAATAACTCTCTGGCTGCTTGTCAAAGTATTCAACTTTAATTATCACCAAAATAACAAAGTAAATTATTTTTAAATTATAAAAATACAACTCATAAAGATGGTCCTTCCGATTATCATAGAAGAAAAGGAATGCCATTATAACGGAGAGAGAGAGAGAGTGTGTGTGAATAGTGATTCTTTGAGCAACAATGGAATCCAAGGGGCTTTCACGCAATAACAGAGAAAACAAGGCTAAGCCGAAGCGCAAAGAGGTAAATCACATGTCTTTCCTGTAATCTGAAACAATTCCAACTCTTATTGGTGCAATTTAATTTTGGATTTTTAGATAATTGAGAAGAGGAAGGCTATGGATGCACTGATAAAAGTAGCTTCTGCCGAAAAGGACTATCTTTCTGCTTTCCCTGCCTTTCGCCATTACCAAATAAGCGGTACCTCACTCTCATATTATCTATGCTACCTTTCCACAATTCGTTTGAAGATTTTGTTTATTTGCAGTACTATTTCAATTTCTCTTGGAAACCCACTCTGGACTGTGAGCTCATTCGAGCAGGAAAAGAGGCAAATTGTAGGAATTTAAAACGGAACCCTGCTGCCATTTCTTGTTTTTTCTCTTTCATTTTTTGGTAGCAGCTCCATTACGGGTTCGTCCATTTTTGTATGCAAGTGTTGAGCTTGTGCTACTTTATAAGTGTAGATGGCTAGAAATTATTCTTGGGGATATTGCAGTTTTCTTGCTTGGTTTTGCAAGTTAGAATACCTCAAAGTTTTTTGTGGAAGATGAAATTTCATGTAAGCTCATTGGATGTTAGGCCTATCTGCGTTCTTGGAATCAGGAAGGGGGGACAAGCTCTCCTCTCCTGTTAAGCAATTCATTCAAAATCTCCTCAAGGTATTTGAAGTTGTCTGACATTTTTTCTGAACTCCACCAAATTATGCGGATGTTCTCATTTGCTTTCTTTGTTCTTTTGGGAAAACTCATTCAAGTTTTGAGAAATCATCAGGCCAATATGGAGGGGCCGTATGGATCTGAGTGGCCTGCGGAAGAGAAGGTGAAGCGCAGGGAGATGGTTGCACCAGAAGCACATTATGTATTTGTACGTAACACTTCAAATGCAAGTTCAGGTGAATTCTTAACAACGTCTGAATGTGAAAAGACCTCAGCTAGTTGTGTAGAAGAGAGGGGCCCCATAGTTGGGTTTGTACATTTTCGCTTTGTCATAGAGGAAGAATTGCCTGTTCTTTATGTGTATGAATTGCAGCTCGAGCCTCACGTACAAGGGAAAGGTCTGGGGAAGTTCCTAATGCAACTAATTGAGCTAATTGCTTGCAAGGTGCTGACTCTGCTGTTCCCTCTCCCATTTTACACTTATATTTTATAGACATCTCAATGAAATGAAATGCTAGATGGAAGAGAAATGTCTGAGGACTTCCTCAGGTTTTGCATTTTTAAAACTGGAATCTTATCTTTTTCTGCCCTCAGTTTGATTGTCTTAATATTTTTGTTAACCAACTTATCAACATTCTATGTTAATTGTTCTTCCTGGCATCGAGACAATAAATCTTGCATTTTCCATTTTCTTTGTAGAACCACATGGGTGCTGTCGTTCTAACTGTTCAAAAAGCAAACTCCGCAGCTATGAATTTCTATTTATGTAAGATGAGGTAAAAAAAAATGCTTGTATATACCGCATCTAATTATTGATGAAAATTATACAGAGTTTTTCATCCATGTTGTGTCAGATTTTCAGTTTTCTAGAGTGATGCAGCTTGTAGGTTCAATGGAAAATATTTACTTGGTTACTATGGAAACAATGATTATCCCCTTTCTGCTCACTCACACATCACTGGAATTTAACATTAACCCACTCAAGAAGGGATCAAAGGACGAAATTCGTTCTTCGCCTTTATAGTTACCTGGTTTTGCATTTTGAAAGTCCAGTACTGCTTAAGTATTCTTCTGCCGTGCAGTCTTAAATCATATCGGTTGTTTAATATTAAGAGCTTGGTGAAGTCTGTTACCAATCATTTGTGGAGCAACCTAGGAAGAATGTTCTTTAAGTTGCATATCATGGTGCTTTATTCAACAGATTTATACTAAAGTATCACCAGTGCTTAATTGTTTTATTAGATTTCTTGATTTTTTTTTCTTTTATACATTATATTGCCCGTGCATCCAATGATCAGATTTCTTTTTCTTTCACCAGATATGTTACATCGACTATATCACCATCAAGAGTTGATCCATTGGTGAGGGATTGTTAACAAAGCACCTACAATGTGTGAATTACACAGAAGACCTACACCTTTTCTTCAATGTTTTAACACGTTTATTATTTATGCAGATAGGAATTGAGAAGAGTTATGAAATTCTTTGCAAAACATTTAGTAATGAGGCTAAAGCTATCTTGGAGGTATAATCCTGCTTTTGTTAGAAATGCAGTAATATATAACAGAAATCAAAGATAAAATATTACTGTTTTAAATATCTTTAGTAAGCTGGTTTATTTTGGACAAATTTCATGACTGTCATTTAAGGAAGTTGGCATGTGAAAGTGGGCTATCAAAAACACAAGAGTTCAATCATTTATAGAAATTTGCAATTGATAACAAAGTGGCTTAATTGTCTACTTATGTGTCACAAGCATTTTCAAAGATATTTAGCATCCTGTTTTAAGAGTATCTAAAGGTTTTGTACTTTGTTGCGCATATGCATACATTCATTTGTCTTATTTTCCTTTTATTTTATGATTCTGAATATCAGGAACCACTTGAGCTGGTTCACTCGGTTTAACAAGATGGTAAACTGGGCGCTCTTCAGTAATTATGTGCTGTCATAAAAAGGCAGAGCTATTGAGGTACTGGATGATATAGTTACAGGAGAATGCATTACTTACAATGTTTTAGCTGCAGCACTACGTGCAGTATTATTACTCTTGAACTCACAGAATCACTAGCATACATTTTTTTTTGGCTCAGCTGTACAAAATCAGCAGCAAATAGTACTATGTAAAAAGAAACTACTTTCTTTGGTAGATATTATTTTGGATCTTCTTGTAAGCATAGTAATTGCAGTTTATGCTCAATAATGGAAGTTTGATCTCCATTTACTTGAATATTTGTCATTGAAACATTCTTCAAAATGGTTTGGCAAGCAAATAATTCTGTCTGACAGAAAGCTTTGAAATCCTGTAGGATCTCTTAAGACCTTAATTTCTGCCATAAAAATCGCCCGGACAGGTCTATGGTCCGACAACTTCAATTCGCCTCTGTCATATTGGTTTTGCTTTAGTCCCTTCCCGAACCATATGATTCGATCACACCTACAAAACCATCAGTCAGTGCATCGTGTGCTGCTTGTTTCTGGGATAAGATTTGTAGCAGTCCTTATCAATTTCAAGCAGTTCAGGATGCTTACCATGCTGGAGCACGCCTTTTATTGTGTTTTCTCTTCTCATCGCAGCCAAAGTAAAGTTCCGAATTCTTGTAATATTTGTAGCTAGGGGCGAAGTTTATTACTCCTTCATGCCAACCTTCGAATACATGTCCTTCCATGAGCTCCACCTTTAGCTTTAAAAGATAGTGATGGAGATTAAACATTTTTAAAAAAAACATGGTAATGTTTTTCTTTTTACACGTTGATCATAGCAGCTAGTTTCACAGTGACAGAATCTCTTTACACGTTCGGATATTGTAAAGTACCTGATCATATTCCAACAAAAGGTTCCACTTTTGCTTCTCTACAAGATACTGCGTTGTGGCGTCAGGCAAGTAGATTCTATAGTTCAAGTCTCCAAGCCAGATCACCCTACTGCTTAGGCATATATTATTTAGTGACTTAATTAGTTATGATATTACTCCAAATATATATATTCCACAATCAAAAAGCGTTCTCAAACAAGAAGTTCACGAACAAGGGTATCAACATCTCTTAAAACTTATGACCAAAAAAAAACCTCTCTTAAAACTTAGAAAAAGATTGGAACTACTTTTTGTATCGACTCTTTTCTGTCGAACAGACCAAGGTTTGAAAAAATAAATTGAGGAAGAGCAGAAAACAGCAATCAAGAAGCAAAACTTGTATATACATACTCGTGATCAAGAATTTTAGTGGTGAAATTAGGGAAGGGCCCGGGAGGAAAGGTTGTGCGAGATAAAATCTCAGCTGCGTTTGCGTTTCTGCTTCGTTGATCACCTTCTTTTCCTCCGGAAGCAAGATGACTACACACAAAACAAAAGCTTGTTTCATGCAGCCAAAATCTAACTGACACCGAACCCTGCATGTATGTACGTGTGTATCAAAAAGTCATCATTATAACATAAACTAAATTAAATTATGAAAATAAAAATAAATGAAGTGAGCTAATTCATTCTAAATTCCATATTCCAATATTCAATGGATATTATATACCTTGTTCCCTAGGCAACCCATGAAACCACAGCCAACACATGAGACACTGAGCTGTCTAATGTATTGGCAGAGGTCACTCCTAACCCAAACAGATAAGAATATTCCGATCATTTGCTTACTAATGATGCATCGGAAGTCTTGTGTAATATTATTCTTAGGGTCAGGGTCATTAAGAGCTGCCCTAATCAATGAATTCCATTTCTCGCAAATCTTGCGGTTGTCAGATCTTACAACAATATTTGCTGCATTCAGTGGCACAATTTCTTGAAACCTGAGATTGAGTAATTAATTCGTTCAGAATGATCAGATTCATACGGCTATATCTATCTATCTATATGAATCAAACTTGAACACTTGCATGTTGTTGCAGACATGCACCATTAAAACTAACAATATTTAACTAGAGATATATCATATATATAGAGGGAATGATTTAATTACCCAAGAACGTAGATATTAGCAGGAGGGTTAATATGATTGGGTCTAAGCCACTCTTGTATGTCCAAAACCTCGGGAGGTGAAACACCTCCAACATTCCAGGAACCGGCGAAGATCCTGCATCCATCCAACCATTGATAAACAATTATATAACATCATCATATTACACTACGTACAAACATAACTTTCAATTCAAAATATATATAATAAGTGAGAAACTAGCTAGGTAGCTTAAGTGAGCTTGTGTTCAATGGGTTGGGGCATACTGATGATATATATTTTGAGGAGCAGTGGAATTTTTCTTGGAGATATTGATATTATCACTTGGTCGACTTTCCATCATGGTCTCCATCTCCATGAAATCTGGATTAATATCCGCGATGAAATTGTTGCTCCCCATTAATCTACACCAAATGAACTTGAATCATAATGAACACACATGTATTCATTTTACTATATCTTAATATAATCAGTTCATTAGAAAGATAGCCATTATTAACTTGAGAGAGAGAGAGAGAGAGAGAGAGTTTTTCTTACTTGCTTTGCTTGCATGGGGATGGTTCTGTATGAATTAAATAGCATAGCAAAGCTTAGCTAGGATGAAGAATTCCATTACACGACTGATTCTGAGTAGTGGAAAGGGAATGTGACCCGCAAACCCTCCCGTGAAAAGAAAAACAAAAGTGTAAAAAGATCCCATTTGGCAATTTTGGCTGGACGGAAACATAATAATAAGGGGTGAGTGACGAAGGTGATGATGCAAGTCAGACACAATAGTTTAATGGGGATTAATTCATTTATGGGAGGTACAGGATTAACTAATTAATTGAGTTTACTCTCTCAATGAGCCAAAATAACAAGAGAAAAAAAATACCCAAAAATTCCTAAAACATGTGTTCACTCTTTGTCTCATATTTATATGCACATGGCATGGGTGCTCAATTTTTAATTCATTTTTTCTGGGTGTCTCTGTTTGTTTGTTGATGGTTGGGCCTGATACTAGAGCAATTTATTATTAATACATATATTTATATATGGACTTCTCGTAACCACATATATATATATATATATATATATATATATATATATATATATATATATATATATATATATATATATATATATATATATATATATATATATATATATATATATATATATATATATATATATATATATATATATATATATATATATATATATATATATATATATATATATATATATATATATATATATATATATATATATATATATATATATATATATATATATATATATATATATATATATATATATATATATATATATATATATATATATATATATATATATATATATATATATATATATATATATATATATATATATATATATATATATATATATATATATATATATATATATATATATATATATATATATATATATATATATATATATATATATATATATATATATATATATATATATATATATATATATATATATATATATATATATATATATATATATATATACGTGTGTGTGTGTGTGTGTGGCGTGGGTGAATTTATATTTAAAATTAGGTATCCCATTAAAATGTATCATCAGAATCATGCATAATTAACGACTGAAAAAAGGTTGATCTTATAATGCTTAACCCACTCAAAAAAGCTGTTGCATCGTGTAATTAATAGGATTTATGCATAACTTGGCTGAGAATTTAAATTCAGACTCTGTTTCAAAGAGTCAGGACCATCTTGGTGGCCTGTGCTAGCTATGTCTATGTGGTTGATGACGAAATTAGACTGTTTGATTGCTGCAAATTTACATGATTAATTCTAGGTCAAGCTAGCTCCAACTACATAATAAAAATACACTGCTAATAATAATTTCATGGCCTTGAGTATTTTAGTCGATGACTTTGAATATATGAAAAGGAATGATTGGAGGGGCGGAAAAAGAGCCAACATAAAGTTACACAATCTGACTAGTTTATTACCGAAATAAATCATCTGGAAAAATAAAAAAAATGAAAGACATCTCTGTGAAGGTTTCTTCTTCTTAATACACTGACTGAACGAATCTCATCGAAAAAGCTACTAATGTAATGAATAAATAGTGATGGGAGCTGTCACTTGAAACAAAAAGAACCAAGGAAACTGGTTTGTCGTAAGAGTCCAAATGATTAATGCTAATTAATAGTCATTGATCAAGCTAATCAGTTTCAGTATAGTATTAATTAATTAATTAACAAGTCCATATATATATATACCCTTTGTAATCTGAGAATGGTCCTCCTACTGGCTACTACTCAATTCTTTGCCTTTTCGAGTTGAATTGGAGTTGTATAAATTTAGTACACAACCCACCCACCACTATTTGTTCTTTTATATATCGCATCTGTCAGAAAAGGATTGGTTGGTTTTTGTCATGGTGACAATCTGATTAATTATATATAATCAAATGCTGGAAAGATGGATTAGTGATAGATCATAGAGGAAACAACCCATGAATTGATCAATAATTCATAACAAAAATTAATTAAATACATGTATTCTACTATTTATTTGTAATGGCTTTCAACCTCAATGTCAGTTAGCATCTTGTCTGTTTCCCTAATTGAGCAAGGCAACTAGTCTTGATTTCTTGACAGGTCCATCTAAAAAAGAAAGAACAAAACGTATTGAATTAATATGCAATAATTTAACTATAAATTTAAAGTACAAGCGACCCTTGTTTAAGGGGGGAGAGGGTTTCTCACACTAAGATACACACAACCAAGAAGTCACGGGGATTCGAACCTGAGACCCTTGTTTGCAAGTGAAGACCCTTTTCCACTAGGCTAAACCCCGTTGGCAAATATTGTTTTAAAACCGGCACTAATGAACATGAACTTTGAATTATTGACCATAGGCATAACTAATCCTTAAGCTGAAAACGTCAAAGCCATTTAAAAACTCTTTTGGCACTTGTGATTTATGCTACGAATATTTTCATGGTCCCACGCATGGTATTGCTCTTACTGCATGCTTAGCAACATGAGATGAGATACATGTTGTGCTCGCTTAATTATTGATTTGATGTTGTGCTCGCTTTCAACTTTTAGCATCATACATAACATAACCAATGCTTCAGTTCAGCTTCAGACTAATATTAGTTCCTCCATTTCTTTCACCTCACCGACTAATTCAAAAGTCTAACAGGCCGTGTGAAGGTTCATCCATCTCAATCAATCTGCCTGTTATGCATGATTTACACAATTATTGGTGTTTCCTCCATTTGACACTTTGGTTCATTCTAGGTGTAAAGTAAATGATGACTAGTCACCTAGCCTTATGTTTTTTTTTTTCTTCTTATTTTTGGTAAACGTCGATGAGAACAACCAATCTTTTAAGATTCTGAAAAATCAGTGCGCATCTAGTGGTTGGATACCAAGATAAGAACCAATCTTTTCTTTTGTTTTTTGGGCGGCAGTGTAAGTTGATAACTTCATAATATGGCCCAGTTTGATAAAGCTGAAAACCTCCCTTAAACAATTGGAAGCGGTGAAGAAAAGAAAAGAAAAAATTCTTGGGTTTGTGAGGGCATAAATCATTCACCCCCTGACAAATACATGATAATTATAACCCACAGCTAAAATGTTTGGTGACCTCCCTTGAAAGTTTGAAAATACACGAATTTGCTTCACCCGTTCAAACTAGGTAGAGAAAACAACACAAAATTCTAACTGTGGATTGAGGAAACCCAATCATGCTTTATCATCAGCGAAGCGAAGCAGCTATGGTGGGATCACGTACCTGCTTTAGCACGAGTTCATGTCTTTCAAAATTTATTCCACACCAAAGGGAATGGGGAAACTAAAGTTTTATCGTGCACAATCTCAAGATATTGACAAAAAAGTAACAACTTTTCACTTCCAATTATAGGAAAGCTTTAAACTTCAAACAAGATATAAAGGAGCTCAAGCATTTAACAATTACCTGATCACGGCCATTGGTCTGCCAGCCAACAATTATGATAGGAAAATGCTCCAGACCAGCAAGCAACCTCATCTTTCCAAGGAAAATGAAGAGAGAAACTGTTAAAGAGGCACTCCTTTACAACTGCAGATAATGTCTTAAATATTGAAGAAGAACACATTGTCAGGTTTCAAGTTTCAACACAATAAGCTGAATTTATTCCGCCACATAAGATTTTCTATCTTCTGCTTCAATGCAGAGCATCTAGCATCCATAAAATGGTCACTCGTACCCAATTTCCTTCTGTCCCACAACTTATCAATCTTAATCTCCCACTGCACTACCTAGCTTCATATTCTCTGATTCAACCAGTCGATAATGTCCTTGGCAATAGCTTCTCGTTCTGGCTCAAAGAGGAGGTCATGTAATAACCCGTCAAACAATTTTATGCTTTTGTCAGTTGAGGAGGCTTCATTGTACAGTTTCTGGGAGGCTTCAGGGTCAGTAACAGTATCAGCGGTGCCATGGAGAACCAAGAAGGGAACTCTCAATTTGCTTAGATTCTGCTGCAAGTAGGATGTGATTCGGAGAATCTCATAACCAGTCCTCACACGGATTGATCCAGTGTACACTAGAGGGTCTGAATACTTGGCAACTAGAGCTGCTGGGTCACGAGAAACAGGCATGCCCTTTTTATTTGCTGCACTTATCTGGTATCTTGGAAGCAAAAATGAGGCAATTGGAGCAATTACCTGGCATGATAGATGGAGGTGAGCCTGGTGAGGGATGACCTGACTTACTGAATCTTTGTAATTTGATATGCATTTGCAAACTTGTAATTGTTTTTATGCTCAAAAGTACATAAATATTAGATATAACAGAAGAGGTTTTTCTGACCACAAATATTGGATGCGAAGGCTGAACCCCAACTGCAGGTGATGTCAGCACCACACCTTCTATGCTGGACTCAACTTTTGGGTCAAGCATTGCCTAAAATCAGTTTTCCAATATAGTGTAAGTTCGGATTAAATTCCAGGTCAATGGATTTAATGTGAATAAACAGAAGACGATAAAATAGTGACTACCAGAAAGTCATTCATGCAATTGCAAGAAAGAAATCACTTCCTGCAGAAAATACCTTAAGTATAATAGCTGCACCTGTGGAATGTCCAAAACAGAAACATGGTAGGCCAGGATTTTCAGCTAAAACCTTTTCAAGAAATGATTTCTGCATAAAATTAAAGTGCGAAGAACACATGTAAATACTTAATCAAAGCAAAGTTCCTTCTCAGCATGAAGAACTGAATTTAAAAACTACTTTCTCATCAGGATACAGTTAATGAGCCTTGAAACATACCATATCCGTAACTGCATAATCAAGAGAAGGAACATATGCATGAAGCCCCTCACTCCCACCATGACCTATATGGAAAAGTCACTGAGAACAGTTATACAA